CACACACACACACACACACACACACACACACACACACACACACACACACGGTTAAAATACAACAACCAGGGGGCTGAGGGCTTACATGTTGATCTTAAAATATCAACCACAACATAATACAAAAAGCCAGTTCCACGCATTAACAACATTGCACATAGCTCAAACACAGCTTTGTTTGACACCAAACACAGGAAACGAATCCATGTCTGAAACAACTATGTCACATTATAAAGTGATTGCAAACAAAATAAAAATGCTAAATGCCTCAGTAATAATATAAATACACAGATCAGCGGATATTGGCTACTCTTAAAAATCACCAACCTGTCATGCCTGTGCATTCTTATACAGTTTCAATTACCTAGTAAGAAAAAGAAAATGCAGCAGTAGGTGCTACAGCCTGCCTACAATTTAATGTTTAGGATAGAAATCTCTTCTCCATAATAATCTAAAAGCACTATTAATTTTAAGTCTTTTAAATTTTCTTTTAGATATAGGTTTATGGTTCAATATAACTTGCTAAATGAACCACAACAACAAYAATTTGTGTTGAGCATCAGCACAAAGATTATTACAAATCGGTCATACAACACCCAATATAGTTCTAACAACAGATGTGAGATTTACTCTCACATCTCCTAACAGAACTCACTATAAAATTTAATAACATGACAATAATCACTAGCTTCAAAACTACTTAAAATTCAAATCGTGATCAATCACAACAAACCGGAAAAGCAATTTCATTTCTAGGATTACAGTGAATGAAGACCTGATTTTGTGAAAGCCTACGAGTCTACTTTAGTTGAATCTAAAACCGTCACTGGTGATGGATGCAAACAGAGCGGCCCATACCACGGTCATTAGCCGAACTAAAGACAGATCTTTGGCATAAGCGCGGGGCGATGAACACCTCCTGAAAGCCTCCCTAATGATATAATCAAACATCTGCCTGCTCGAGCTTTGAATTAACGAAGCCGTCAAACTTATATTTACGGAGATCTACTCGCATTTCGACTGTTGCTAACAACTCTTAGCCTATTATTTTCGGTATTTTTCTGCTGTGAAACACTACATTTTGGATGGGGTTTTTTTTCGAGGCCATGTTTCTCGGGGCGCCTCTAACCAACTTTGGCTAACTAGCCAGTAACTTTTAAAGGGATTTTGTGGCACACATATGAAACGCAACGTAATGGCGGCAACTTTTGCAGTGCGAAGTTCACAGAAACGTTAGTAAAATTCTCCGTTCGAGTTAGAAGCTTGCCAGCTAAATAGTGTCAAGTGGACAGGAGATTATCCTGTTCCCAGTGACTGTAAAACGCTTTGATGCTAGTCAGCTAACGTTAGCCCAACCTGTGGGGTTTACCACCGCGTCAGTTTGGTGCTGCTTTTGCTGAATTCTCTCTACTAAAGGCTAATCTAATGACTTGTTTGACACAATACGAACCTGCTATCGTTAATTAAATGTCACGGTGGCTACAAGACCTCCCTACTTCACGGCGTTTTCAAGCAGTTTAAGTGCAAAAAGTTACAGCCTTACCTGTAGCAGCCATCTTGAATAGTCTCAATCTAAAATCGGATCGGTCAAGAACTTCAGGGAAAGCTAAAAACCTCCATAATGCTACATTCTGATTGGCTGATTCTTCCAGTCGCACTTCTTCATTGGACGTACACTAGCTGGGCATAAAGGAGGCGGGTCCTTCTCATGCAATCAAGTAATACAAATTCTACACAAGACACCTCTCATACTCATGCATAAAAAAATCAGGTAAAGCAACGGAAAATACACATTACACAATAGTTCATTAAATCAGCTTATACTCTTAACCTATAAATATTTTTAAATAACTTATTTCTTAACAATGAAGACTTGCAAAGGATTTCATCAGTTAATTTAAATAATTTGACAAAAACAAATGCAAATTAGAAGACATTTTTATTACAAACCAAAATATATACAATTCAGTATGGGTCTGACACGTCCCCCCCCCCCCCCCCAATTTGCAATCACTAAAAATACACTTTACTGGTGAGTATTTTATACACTTCAATTACTTAAACTTCTTTTATCAAACCCCACTGGTTAAATATAAAACACTTCCAGAAAGAGGACTTTCTGATAGTCGTGTACACTTTATTCATTTTGTCCTATTGTACACTGAGGAACCTCCTTTTCTTAGACGTGTGCGTATATGCATGGTGACGCCACTCRACATCTGCTGTGTTCTCATTCTCCAAGGTGCCAAGTTTGATCATATACACTAAACAGAAGAAAAACAAATTAGAAAACTTTAAACAACCCTGAACAAACAGACAGAAATGTGGGTGATAATGTAAAAAAGTATAAATAGATAATTGCAAATTTATTTTATTTAGAAAACATCCCCCACAATCCCAAGACAAACAATAAGATATTGTTTTCTGATTTGAAGTAACTTCATTAGGATTTTACCATCATTAAAAAAATTAGTAGCCTTTCTTTKTCTCCCATTTGCAGGGGTCGTCCAGCTATGATAAACATACTGTTGGAGTACAGACTTAAAAAGATATATTATGAGTTTATTTAAAGCTTTGTCTGTTTTAAAAGGGGCAATATCATGTAAAATCAACTTTTTTGAGTTTTATATCATGCTATAATAATATACTCTTATAAAAAACACGCCCAAAGCCTTGCTCTGACTCATTCATGCATGTTTGAGAAATCCTGCAGTGTTTTTAGTCAGCCATGCTGAGGAGCAAAACGACAGGTGGGGACCAGAAATGCCTTTTGGTACCAGGAACGCCTCTGGGCTGTGTCTCCAAGCCGAGCTTCCTCATCATGGAGCACACCTCCCCACCCCTCACCCATGACTCCTGCAGGCTTTCGGCAGTAACAAAGCAAACGAGTGAAAGTGAAACAAACTGTCTGCTGCTCTTAACAGTACTTCCCACTCAGTGAAGCTCTTTTCAGATTCAAAATTCCTTTGAGGAAATGTATTTTCAGATGCCAAGTAAACTGCATCATAGCGCAAGCGCACCCCCCGCTCCCCGAAATGGACGTGACAGATGCGGAAGGTGGGTCTTAAAGAGAGAGAGAGGCCAGTTTCAAGGCGTTTTAGAAGAGGAAGTGATGAGAAGATAAATTTATTTTCTATTTAACCATAAAACAGCATTTTAATAACAGCTAAAGGTAACATAGATACTTTATTATGGTATAGTATTTAAATATTTGCCTGAGAAACACATAATAATGCCCCTTTAAACACTTCAGTTTTACTTTTGCAGTTTTACATTATGTACTAAGAATTTGCTTTTGGAAAAAAAATTGGAATTGTACACATAGTGGTAAATGGACTGAATATAGCACTTTCAAGTCCCGTCAAACGCCAAAGCACTTTACACTACAGTCATTCATCCACACACTGATGCTAGTAAGTGACAACCACAGCTGCCTTGGAGCACGCTGACAGCAGCAGGGCTGCCCTGCACCACCGGACCCTCTGATCACCATCAGTAGGCAAGGCTGAGATGGCTGGAACGTGATTGAACCAGCAACCCACCAGTTACAGGATGACTCCACCAAAGCCGTAGAATAAATTGGATATATGTACAATATTCATGTGGTTGAACTGTTAGTTCTCATCAGCACTTGTATAGTTCACTTAGCAAGTAAGAAGATACTAATAATCTACTTTGTCTAATCTTTTATATCCTCTTTATTATTTTATCTTTGACATAAAAAAGAAAAAAAAATCTGACATTTTAGCAAAAAGAAAGCTGCTGTTGAAGAAATCTTGTAATAAATCTCAACTAGGGCTGGCTGCCAAGAAGAACTTCTTCCAGATGCCCTTTGGAAAACTTTAGTTGAGATTTAATGAGTGTTTTTATTTGATTTCACTTTGACATAGAAGGCTTTTTGAAAACTTTGTCAAAAATGTTAATTTATATCAACAATGATTGATTAATGACAGTGTGAGTTTTGGTTCAAAAAATACATCCTAACATCTCCATTAAACATGGGCCAGCTGGCTTCAGTCTTCAACAAACGAAGATGTGGACAGTTAAGTCTGTAATATATTTTCTTAAGACTGTATTTTCCATATTTAATATGTCTTGGCCCATATTTCTGCAGTGAAAATAAAAATACTACCCCAGAAACCTATCCTGACTCCCAAACCAAAAAAACGGTTCGTGCAGTGGACAGCACAACTCATGTCTAATTCATAACAAACTACGTGAAAAGCACTTTGTTCATTTGAGCAGAAATAGTATCAGAAATGATTATCTGTGGGAAAACAGCATAAAATATAGAGATTTGAAATTTATTCAATCATACTTACATTTCATCTCAAACCTGGGCCCAACTTCTGTCAGTTCTATATTCTTATGGTCTGTTTTCTTGTAGGTGTGATGTCTAAGAAAGAAAAAAAAGTTAGAAAAAAATAATTCCCTAAGGCCCTGTTTACAAGGAGCTAGTTTTCAGGGAAACCGCAACATTTTTGTTGCAATCTAGCTGCTTGTTTACCCGTCACTAACCGTGTTTCCATCCAATTTTAATTTGAATTTTGAGCAAATTTTAAAAATTTCTCAAAAGGGAAAAAAACGAAGAAATGCAAATCAGACGTGTTTCCATCAAACTGGCTTGAAGCGAATCAATTACGTCAAACTTGTGTAGTAAACAGGAAGTAAAAGTCACAAACTCACAATGTCCACACATCTCAGGACAATGGAGAGAAGTTATCAGGAACGTGTTGCTACCATCAGGAAAGTTGTAATTATTCTGTCATATTCTGGCAATTTTACATGCTGTCTGGAGATGTACATAAAAAAATGCAGTTCTCTTCACGTTATGGGAATAACTGAGAAGACGCCGACAGCTGGAGGAGGGTCCTGCTGCCAGTCAGTCGCTCTGGTACTGGTAACGTTCAGACAGTGGAAACAGCTCATCAATCGTGAGGTAAATGTTCGCTACTTCAGAACTTAATTGGCAAATGTGTTTCCATCTCTCCTTTTGCGCATTAACTCTATTTTGAAAGACCCAGAAACCACGTCAAGCGAGCGTATCAACTTTTTTGCGAATTAGAGGAAGTTTTTTTGAATCGTGCCGTTTCCATTCACCTTCTCTGAAGCGATCTCAGTAACACCCCACAACTGTGGAAGCATGCACAGTTGGCACACAGCAAAGGTTTCTTCTAAACTAACAACAATTATAATGAATTACAGACAGCAGAGAGTTTTTTTCTGTTACTTGACCTTTGCAGCTTGAAGGAGCAAAACTTAAAAACCGTCCTAGGTCCCAAAGTACGTTAGTTTATTCACCAGGTTCAGATGTAACTGTGATCCTGCAGCCGCTGCATGGTCGGTGCCTGAGTGAGACTGGCATCAGGGTTGCCAGATATAAATAAAAAATATATTTTTGCCCCTTTTTTTCTGTGCATATTATCACCAAACACAACACACCTTATCTTACAACATCCTCACTCAGCATATACGACTGAGTGAGTCACATATGTATGTCCCATTTGGAAACCCTGCCTGGTACATTTCAGCAGCAGTTCGGTGAAAATGGGTGATATTTTCTGTTTATTCACCCCAATAAACATTGAAAATACACCAGTATTACCAGAGACCAATCTCATGTAAACAGGGCCTAAAAAATGCATATCACGTTTCAAGTAGGGTTGGATATTGTTTAAATTTGAACGATTCCAGTTCCCAACGTTTCCCCGATCCTGATTCTTTTTAGAGGAAGGGTCAAAAAAGTAAGGCAAAGTCCTCAATTTACTGGTCGGTCTACATTACTACCCTCCTCTATGGTCACAAGCTTTGGGTAGTGACTGAAAGAATGAGATCACAGATACAAGCAGCTTAAATGAGTTTCCTCTGCAGGGTGTCTGGACCCTCCCTTAGAGATAGGGTGAGAAGCTCAGTCATCCAGGAGGGACTCAGAGTAGAGCTGCTGCTCCTCCACGTCGAGAGGAGCCAGTTGAGGTGGCTCGGGCATCTGGTAGGGATGCCTCCTGGACACCTCCCTGGTGAGGTGTATCGAGCATGTCCCACTGGGAGGAGACCCAGAGAAAGACCCAGGACACGCTGGAGGGACTATGTTTCTCAGGTGGCCTGGGAACACCTTGGGATTCCCCCAGAGGAGCTGGCCCAAGTGGCTGGAGAGAGGGAAGTCTGGGTCTCTCTGCCTAGGCTGCTGCCCCCGCGACCTGACCCCAGATAAGAGGAAGAAAACGGACGGACGGACGGACGGACGGGTGGGTCAAAAAAGTTTACAAGATTTAAATAAGGTAGCTGACCAGAGTCCTTTCTGGATGAAATAATGTTAACTTCTCTAATTTTATTTTTATTTTTTATGAGCTTCACTATGATTTCCTCTCAGGATTGTTATCAACCACTATATATGAAATTACTATGAAATTAGATATAAAATGTTATGAATTTACTTTTCACATGGGTACTCTGTGAATTGTCCTACTGCCCTGACAGATTATTTCACCTTGTTTGAGAAGATTCAGACTCAAATCAAGTAAAGTAATCTAACAGTGGAATCAGACAGTTGCACTTGATAAGACTCCTTGAAATAAGGAAAATTTCCAGGCTAACAAGATTAATAATCACACACATTTAGGGCCCTATAATTTCCGYGATGCGGAAAATGTGGACGGGATCATGGAATTGACCAAACAAAATGGAATCCAGTGTAAAACGCGGAATCTCGCGGAATTCGCTTATTTGGGCGTGTTTCTGAGGTATTTTGGCCACTGCTGCTTCCTGTATCTGCCGTTACCTGGCAACTGGCACGTGGGGTGAGCGCAAAGCTCCCCTCCCGACACAGGAGAAAAAGAAAAAAAAAAAGCAAAGACTGCGACCCACACCCACACAGCGAACAGCTCACTCGCTAAAAGTAACATCCTCCAAAAATATAGCTAGCATAAAGTTTAGGACAGAAAAATGTCCCAGCGGTTATTTATTTATCTGTAGAAGAACTTTTCTGCAAGTTTTTTGGCACACGACGGGCTGGACGCTGTGAAGACAGCTTCAGACAGCTTCCTTGTCACAGACAGAGAAGCAGCTGAGAGACATGCTGCAAACTCCTGAACACTCAGACGTGAGTTGGGAGTCTGACTGGTAGTTTATCCATGATTTTGTTGTTGTGTGTGCAGAATCAGATACTCCTTTAGAAAAATTGAAAAACCTTTGTCCATTTTTTTGATAAAACACTGTAAACGGCGTGTGTGCAGATCTCCATTACAGAAGAAAATGAGCTTAGATGGCAAGTGTAGGTTTTATGTATCTTTATGACATATTTCATGTTAAGCTAAATTCTAAACCATTTTTGTTTTACAAAAGATAACTATTATGTGAGATTCTATGTTTTACATATAAAGAATGGTTTTTTTCTCAGTAAATACTTTTAAACACCTTTCAAAAGTAATTTAACATTCTACTGAACCACAACTACTTTTTATATTGGTGAAAGTGAAATGACATTATTTTTTAAAATTTTGTAGCTATTTATTTGTTTAATTATTGTTCAGTCACTTTATAATTGCACACTTTTTAGGTAAATAAATATGGTTAAAATGAAAATGTGGAATTCAGGGGAAAAAAGTGGAAAAAGTGGAATTTAGAAAAATTAAAACAGAAAAAACGGAATTTGGGAAAAAAATAAAACAGATTTTACGGGGCCCAACACATTCTGTCCTTTTAGTATGGCCGTCTCAAATCAAGATCAAAAATACTTTTTGGCTGATAAGATTGTAAGACTTGGTTAGATAGACAGTTGTTGCAGTGTACTCTTTTACAAGAGAGCTTTATTTTTAAAAATCTGATGAAAGCACATTGACACAAATCCAGTGTGTGTGCTGCAGCTGCTGAAACATGTTACTGAGCTGTTGTTACATTTTTAAGGTCTAGTGTAACTTGTTAGCTGCCTCAGTGTTGGTATTAGACACCTTTTGTTGTTTTGCTTAGAAGTGTCAGCAACGGCTCACACAGCGTTTCAAAGACAGAACCCTGAGCGATGTTTAATCATGTTGGTTGTGGGTCCTCATTTGCACAATATAATCTTATTTTTTATTAAAGTTAAGCCAAACTATAGATCACGTCAAACCATGGGAAGGTTCTGTGTGATCAAATGAAATGTGTTAGTGCACAGAACAGGTAATGAGAATCAGCTACATCCACACCAAACCTCTGTTCAAAACCTGAAAACTTCCCAGACTTGGAGCCATTTCTGAGTTTCATTAAAATCCTTCCAGTTCTTCATGAGATATTTTACTAACACAAACAGCTTTCTGGAGGTGGGTAATAAGAGCAGTTCCTTTCACACTGACCTGAAAGAGATGAAGTCCTCCTGGTTGGCGAATGTGATGACACGCCTGCTGTCATCCTTGGGCACAGGAAAAAGATACTTGAGGATATTCGATACCTGCATGAGAACAATTAGTTTGTGCATCAACACACACGAGGAGTGAAAAAAATATCAGTATCAGCGTGCGCAGTGCGGAGTCCACACTCACCCTTTTCCCGAGTCGTGAGGTGAAGTTGTGAAAAATGAGGTGGGGGTAGGCCTCAGACATGGTGCCTATGTCAGGAACATCATGCCTCATTACCACATTGTAGAGTGTGAAATAGGCTGTGGGCCCAAATGGCAAGTGGCATATAACCAGGCCATCTGTAAACATACAAGAGCATCAAGATCAGTCAGACCTCTATCAATACATTACTTTAACTTGATATAATTCACTTTCTTAGAAATTTAAACTCAAACTTGTGAATGTACTGAAAATCTCTAACCTGCTAAAGTAACAAATGTTCTCACATTTAATTTGACTTTTATTAACTGCAGACTCTATCAACACAAGAGTTTGTATTTTGTCTCAGTGAGATGCAGATGTATTCTTGAAGGCAGCATGTGTTTGTGACATATTCTTCCTCTGTTGCAGTGATGAGCATCAGACTTAAGAAGAAAAATAACCTTGGCTAAAATCAAGTGAAAAACATCATCCTTAAAAAGGAAAAAAAAAGTCAGATAATAATTTGTTTTTGTTCCAGTCTGTTTGTGGTAATGTGTTGCAGGAATGTAAACTAACAAATAGGGTAAGGCAATATTGGCAAAACAATAACTGTGAATAATTGTGGCATTTAGATAATATGAGGATAATTCCCTGGAGTCCCTGGGCACCTGCATGTCCTAGTCACATCAGGGCTCCAGAGTGCGACCAATTTGGTCACAAATGCAACCTGATTTCCTAATAGTGCGACTAAAAAAAATGTCCGGTCGCACTGGTGCAACCAATCGTTGGAGCAGGAGGGGGAGCGGTCGCCCGCTGAAACAAAAAGTTTCTATCACGTTCCATAAAAAAATGAATCCAGCAGTATCCCGCCGACAGTCTCATCTCTCCTAATAACATTGCGCTCTGCTCCCGGGCTCCGCTCCACACCTCCCACGCACACACACTGTTGTCTATCCTCATGGGGACTTTGCATTGGCTTCCATTCATTTTCCTGTCCCTATAGCCAACCATAACCTCCCAGGTAGACTACACACCTGGCCCAAAACCCTAACCTCACCTGGCTGTGTGTAGCAGGTCCAGGGAAATGGTCAATAATTGTTCCAGTCATGAAGCAAAAACCTACACACACACAAACACACGCGTGCGCACATGCATAACGAAACAACTGTATTTTTTTTTACCCAGATCGGAGTTTGTAAAACTTTTTTTTCTTGTTAACCGTGGAGATGATAAGAAGACGTGGACAGTTGCTATCTCTTAAGTCCATCTTGTTAATTTAACAGTCGGGGTCTACTCTGTGAGCAGATCATTTCAGCAGCATGAGGAAGGAAGTTCACGTGATTGGCAGTCCGCTGTTACACTTTATCGACTTCACCACAGTTGCATTCCAAGTATCTGAAATAGGTTCTTCTGGGTCTCAGGAGGATAAAACTAGACATATTGGATATTTAATTGAAATAATATAAGATAATAAGTTTCAACTAATGTTAATTAAATTGCAGACTTTTATGTTATTATTTTAAAAAAAAATCTGCACAACCTTTTGATAAATATCAGTAATATTTCTGATCAATATTCTCTGTTCATCATTCTGGTTTATCCAAGGCCAAAGATCCATAGTGCCAAACTACAGGAGTTGTCCATCTGAGGGTACAGGTGTCTAAAAAAAATTTAAACATGAAATGTTTAAGATGTTTATAAGATGTTCAGCTCTTAAACAGTTGCACTTAGAATTTTATAGAATCGCTTTAAATACTTTTCAGTAAGTTAAATGTCTACAATTCTGGTTCAAATAAAGAGCATTATGTTTACTAGATTGTTAACTAATTATTTTCGAGTTAATGTTGCTTTAATGAACAGTGATTTAAAAAATAACCTGTAAAACTCTGATGTTAAATCAGAATCAGAATCAGCTTTATTGGCCAAGTATGATGACACACACAAGGACTTTGTTTCCAGCAGATGTTGTCTCTACAATACACACATATGGTGGAAGCAAGATATAAACATTATAGTCTGTGGATTACATATAATAATATATACATTAGGCACTAGTTAATAGGTCTAGTGTTTGGGATTTTTCATCAGGGATATGACCAGGGGGAAGAAGCTGTTTTGTGTCTGGATGTTTTTGAGCATGGGGCTGGCTCTATGGCGCCTGCTGGAGGGGAGAAGTTGAAAGAGGCTATGTCCTGGGTGTGTGGAGTCTGACATGATTTTCTCTGCCYGTTTCCTGGTTCTTGTGGTGTACAGGTCCTGAAGCGTGGGCAGGGGAGCACCAACGACTCTCTCAGCTGTCCTGATTGTTCGTTGCAGTCTGTGACGTGCGACGTGGTTGAAAATTTGGGTGCACCTAACTTTTGTGCTGGTGTGCCTAAGAAAAAATGTTAGGCGCACCGGTGCAACCAGTGCAAAAAGTTAGTCTAGAGACCTGCACATGACCAATTAAAGTCACGCTAGTGGAAAAGATTTGCTTTCTGTAAAAATCTGTTCCAAATTGTGTCAAAAGTACAAACTACCAGCTTTACATCAATTTTTAAATTGTGTTGATAGACCAAGTAAAACCAGAGTTATGATAAATAAATTACAGAACCTCTTTTTAATGATAGTCCTATTTGAAATGCGTTGCAGTGGGAGGCAGGGAAGCACAAACAGATTCATGGAAAAAAACACCTCAATCCACMCTCTAATCTCACCTAGGGCTGGGCGATATGGCAAAAAAATTATCACAATTAATTTTTTCATATTTGTCCGACCACGATTAATATCACAATTTTTTTGTTATCCTAAAAATGATTGAAAAATAATTTAATTAAATAGCTACAGAAATAATGGCTGTTATTTCACTTTCACTAATATAACAAATAGTTGAGGTTCAATAGAACATGAAATTATTTTTGCAAGGTAATTAAAGATATTTACCAAGAAAAAAACATTTATGTGTAAATCATAGAATCTCACATTTATAAAGTTATCCTTTTTTAAAAATAAAGTTTTAAATTGAATTTCACATTAAATATGCCATAAAGAAACATAAACTCTACAAACAGCAACAATTTGTGCACACTTGCCTATTGGATAGGATCTATGCTCATTATTTACTGTTTACAGTGTTTTATCAAACAACAAACAATGCTGTTTCATTTTTTCTGAAAGAATATCTGATTCTGCACATGACAAAATGTTGGCTAAACTCCCAGCTTCTGAGTGTTCAGGAGTTTGCAGCGTCTCTCAGCTGCTGTTTGTGATGAGACTCATAGAGGAAGTCGTGTCCAGCCCATCGTGTGCCGATAAAACTTACAGAAAAGTTCTTCTCCAGATAAATTAAGAACCGCTGGGACATTGTTCTGTCCTAAATGTTATCCTAAAGATTGCTTCATATTTTCGGACAACGGTTTTGTGAGCCGCGATGTGAGCCGCACATCGTGACTCTCCCCACCTCCCTCTGTGTGTCGTGAGAGGAGCTCAGAGCTCACCCTGCGTGCCTTTTAGCAGGTAACTGCAGGTACAGGAAGCGACATCGGCCAAAATACCTCAGAAACTCGCCCAAATAAGCGAACTCTGTGAGGTTCAGTGTTTTATACTGGATTACTTTGGTTAATTCTGCAATTCCGTCTGTGTTTCATTAGCAACTTTTAATCAGAAGTGGAAGAGAAGGTGGATTCTGATTGGCTGTTGTCACGCACATTTCCGCTATGTTTGATCGAGTAAGAGCCTCACAGCTGATCACCGCGTGATCGACCTGATTTTTTTCTCGATCAATAATCGCGATCAAATAATCGCCCAGCCCTAATCTCACCCCCACCCACCAATCTAATATAAAGTTCCCAAACTTCTTTCTGACTGAGACCTGAAGGTATCTGACAAGAGCCAAAAAATCTGGATGAAGAAATAAAAAGACAAAAATTGAATGAAGGTTGGCGGCGATAAAGACACAGTGGAAGCGGGACTGAGTATTTAGCTTTAAGGGAGAGTTTTGGAGATCTGATTTAGCGACATGTTGGATTTTATGGTTAGGGCGTAGTATAGTGTGTTATAAGTAGGGCTGTGTATTGGCAAGAATTTGGTGATAAAATACATATCATGACAGAGGGGTCACGACACGATATATCCCGATATATTGTGATACTGTAAGCAAGGCAATATATTGTGATATATTGCGATATTTTTAGTCCAAAAATTCTATAAAATAAAAACCTCTTACTGGAAAAAAATGAAAAACCAAAATTCATTGTCTCAGAAAATTCTAATTTTACATAGACATACTTTTGATACATTTAGCTGTGTTCTGCTTTGTATGTATTTTATTTGTTTCATATTTCATCCATGTTTTCAATTATTAGACTAAATTTGCCAATAAAYAGTTTGAAAATATATTTTTTGCAGCTTTTAGTTTTTAATTTTAATTTATAATATGGTCACCCAGCACTTAACAATAGCCTTTATGTTGTCATAAAGTTCAGTAAACAGATGATATGAAGCTGCTGCACAGAGTTTCTGGGTTCAGCTGACCTGCTTCCAGAACATGATTTGTATAACTGTGGCTCGAACAGCAGGGCAGGTCCTGAAAATAAACAGTAAATAAATGGAGAAGCTAAACAACACAGTTAAACAGTTTTTGAAGTGAACACAGCAGGATAAACTTAAAGTATATGGACTTTGACGTGATCAGCCGGACATTGAGAGCAACAGTTTTATGTCACGGGTGGAGTGCCGAGCTCGAGGCGCTAGCCTTCTGTAATGTGAAAGCTGACTACAGTTGGAAAAAGAGCTCACAAAACACTTAATTTGGTTTAAAATACATTCTGACAAATGAGTAACTGTTTGTAACCTTATTTCAGCTTAGAAGACAGAGGGTGTTGGTCTTTTCTGCTTYGATTCAGCTATCGGAGCATGAAGCTAATGTTTACTTACAATGCTAATGCTCTCTTACTCTCTGGAGCTCAAGAGGTAGAGGATCCAAATGGCTGGCTTACTGCTGCCAACTAATGGTCAGAGGCTGAACTACAACATAAAAATGAGCAGCTGGCAGGAAAGTTGACATTTTAAACCTTAATAAAAAATCGATACAGGGCTTTGGAATATCGATACAGTATCGGGAAAGGAAATATCGCAATATTTCAGTGTATCGATATTTTCTTACACCCCTAGTTATAAGCACTGAGTTCAGTCAGTTTTGTCTTTGGTCAAAACAATGAGGCGTGAAGCTGCAGCTGGTGAGGTGGAGGTGAAGCTGCAGACAGCCTAAGCTGGAGACAGATGTACCAAGTCAGAACCATTGCAGAGAGGAGAGGGGAGCTCAAAAGCAGAGAAGGGGGAAGGAAAAACACAGTCTGAGACAAAGTGAGGACTTTGATGAAGAAGTAGGAGATCCATTGGGTATAGAAGGGGTAAAGAGAAGAAGAGCACCGAGAGGACTCACCCCAGTCAATCTGCCTGGTGCATTAAATCGTATTAATCGTCAAGTGCCAAAAAAATAACCGATTAAAGTTYTTCTCATGATTAATTGCACACAATACAATTTTATCCAACCCTACTAACAAAACAAAGTTAATAAGACAAAAAATGACATGCCTTGCAGTAGCAGAGTCTGCAAAGTAAACAATTTAAAGTAGATGTAAAAACTGAACCATAGGTTTATTATGTTCAATATCCAAAAAATTTTCTGATTTGAAGTTGTTGAACCACCTGAAACTTCAGTGGCTGCTCTGTTAGATTACCATCATTTAAAGGAGACCTAATATGGGGGTCCTAGAAAAAGTTAGGATCCATCTGTGGGCTATACAAAACATATTCATTTGATTTAATTCACAAAATTAATCTGAGATAATGAAATTTCACCATTTCAGTTCTGCCTGTTCTTCAGCTCTCTTCAGAACCTGCTGSTTTGCATAAGTTGCTATGGAAACCCCCTCCAAAAAATAGAGACAAAAATAGAACTTTTTGGTTTAAACTCCACTCGTCATGTTTGGAGGAAGAAGAATGATGAGTACAACCCCAAGAACACCATCCCAACCGTGAAGCATGGCAGTGGAAACATTATTCTTTGGGGATGCTTTTCTGCAAAGGGGACAGGACGACTGCACCATATTGTGGGAAGGATGTATGGGGCCATGTATGGTGAGATTTTGGCCAACAACCTCCTTCCCTCAGTAAGAGCACTGAAGATGGGTCGTGGCTGGGTCTTCCAGCATGATAA